TATATATATATTGATGGTCATTCAAGTGTCTATTAACTTTTACAATTACGAATAATTGCTCGACCCACTCAACTCGCTTGGTGATAAGAGATTTTATCATACATCTGAGTTTTTATATATAATTTTTGACATCTGTTTATAGATTTGGTATTTTGTGCAAGTGTTGTGGGTACGTACAATGTTGTATGGGAATGACACGCTAGACACAATGTCCACTTGGGTGTTTTAGGGTTTTAGTGTTTAAGGTTTATGGTTTATGGGCTTGAGCAATCGGTGATTGAAGGTTAGAGTTTTCCTAAATTCCTAAAACCCTAAGCCCTAAAGCAATTGGAATATGTACACTTCTTAGTCAACACGCAACTGACGCGATGGCTGAGGCACTATTGTATGTATATAGACACAGAAAACACTATATATGATATATAGGTCAGTATGGTATGTACATAGATCACAATGTATGTATATAGAAACAGAATTGTATGTATATAGACATAGAAAACACTATGTATGATATATAGATCAGAGTTGTATGTATATTGACATATAATTGTATGTATGTAGGCACGGAGTTGTATGCATAAAAACACAGAAACACTATATATAGTATATAGATCGGAGTTGTATGTATATAGACATACCGTTGTCAGTATTTAGACACCGACATTCTCTCCAAAACAAAAAGCACCCGAAGAGGACGACGACAATATTCCTCACGTGGCCGTAATTGCATTGTTTAGTTCGAAATACATGGTAGCTTGTTGCATGCGTGTAAGTGTAAGTGTACGTGCAAGTGTGTGTACATAGCATGTTGCAACTCATTGATGAGTGCACAGTGCTAGTATATCAATTCGACCGGAGTAAATCCGGTAGTGACTGTGCAGTGTGTGTGTGTGGTTCTGCCTATATATACTACGAATTATTTACCGGTGTACACTCTGGTATATCTGATGACCTCGTATCAGTACATATGCCTTCTACTATATCAGTATATAAACTTTCTAATACATCAGAATATAGGCTTTCTAATAACTGTTTAATTTGCACTCTTCATTGTCTTATATGCACGTTGATTAGGGCTCTTCTCACCCCGCTACCTACACACATCTCATTTATTACTAGTTTAGAGTTGTTTTAATAAAACCATTATTCATGCTTTCGCGTATATGCCGTGTCTGGCTTCTTGTGTAGGTTTCAGCTACTTCATGTCGATTAGTTGTTTCTGGGCAAATGGACTGGACTAAGAAAACAATGATGAAAAGTGCTATAGAATCGGGCGCCACAAAGGTGTGTTCAGTGCACAGTATATGAATGTGAAAATCCCGTCTTTGATTGGAATGCTATAAGTGTACGATACGTTTTCGAAGAGTCAGGTTGTGATGTGTATTGTTAGTATAAGTTTATAAACACACACACACACACATATATATATATATAAAGATATATATATTTATATATATATATA